TTGTAGCAGAGAACATGGAACTAAAAAAGATCTCAGAGAACTTCTTGTCCAGAAGCCCTTTGTATTTTTAAGAGATTTTTTTTTATTATGGGCCTGGGGAGATGGCTCAGCAATTAGAATATTGGCTGTTCTTTCAGAGAACCTAGATTTGATTCCCAGCATCCACAGGCTGAACAATCTGTAACTCCAGCTCCAAGAGATATTATGTCCTCTTCTGGTCTCTGCAGGCAGTGTATGCACATGGTACATAGAATTACCTGCAAACAAAACACTCAAACCTGTAAAATAATAATATTTTTAAATACTATAAAATAAAATTATGTTTATCAAAAGGAACAGTCAATATGGGTTTTTTCTAGTTACTGAAAAACTTCTAATCTGTTCTTACACATCTTTTTTTAAGCCTGTTAAATGTAATTTTTTAAAATATTTTTTTATGTATTTGAGCATGCTTTTCCATCTCCCATCCAACTCCACTGTTGTTTTCTTTTTAGAAAACAAACAGAAGACCCAGGGTAAGATGATCAATCCTCACTTAGAAAGACAAATGGGATGGGCATTAGATGTAGGAGAAAAAAAGTAATAGGACTACCACAAAGGGCCTCTGAAAGACTCTACCTAGCAGTGTATCAAAGCAGATGCTGAGACTCATAACCAAACCTTTGGCAGAGTGCAAGGAATCATAACGAAAGAAAGGGGAGTTAGTATGACGTGGAAAGGATAGGAGCTCCACAAGGACCAAATATATCTGGGCACAGGGGTCTTCTATGAGACTGTTTCTCCAGCCAAAGACCATGTATGAATATAACCTAGAACCTCTGCTCGGATGTAGCCCGTGGTAGCTCAGTAACCACGTGGGTTTCCCTAGTAAGGGGAACAGGGACTATTTCTGACATGAACTCAATGGCAGGCTCTTTGACGTCCCCACTCCCAAAGGGAGGAGCAGCCCTGCTAGGCCACAGAGGAGGACTTTGCAGCCAGTCCTGAAGATACCTGATTAAACAATGTCAGATGAGAGGGGAGGAGGTCCTCCCCTATCAGTGGACTTGGGAAGGGGCACGGTGGAGATGAGGGAGGGAGGGTGGGATTGGGAGGGAATGAGGGAACGGGATACAGATGGGATACAGAGTTAATAAAATGTAACTAATAATAAAAAATAAATAAAAAATAAAAGAAAACAAACAGGCAAATAAGCAAACTAGAGTAGAAAAACTGGAAAGAAAAGACATAAGCATGCACGCACACACACATACATACACACCACATGTAAAACAAACCCATAAAATACAGGATCAGAAACTATAATATGTAAGCAAAAGACTGCCAAGATTTTTTTGTATATGCCCAGACAAAGAACTATGAGACAAAAATTTACAAAAGTACCATTGAGTTTATTTTGTGTGGGCCATCTACTGCTCATTAAGTCTCAATCATTCCTGTGTGTTAGAGCTAAAGAGTCTACTACTTAGAAATTTTAATGATTAATGTTTTTCAGTGACTATATCCGTCATTTCCTAGCTGTTGTCTTTTCTGTTGTACTGTGAACTCTTTTCTAACTTAAAAAATTACTCTTTAGCTTTAGCTAAAAATATTTTAAATGATTATTTTTTCATCTTCCAATCTTTTTTTGTATTATGTTTAAAGATTACATTGGAACTACATTCCTAAGAAAAATTTAGGTATCCAAAACACTATTGTTGGCTTTAGCATAGTGTTTCTTGTACAAGCAGGCTTGTAGGGCTTCTCATCTTCTATGACAGAAGCAATGCTCTCATTTCCCGTTTCCAGCCTCAATAACTTATCACCATTATACTTGTATCTTCAATGAGTTGAACTACTTAAATACTTTGTCTGATTAAAATGATGTAATATTTGTCCTTCTGTCATTTGACATGTACTAAATGTCTGTGTCATAGCATATAATAGTGTTAATGAAAAACAACTTTTACCTCAAAAAAGAGTAAGCCATGGTTTATTATTGAGTGGCAGAGAAACACTTAAAGAAATGCTCAACATCCTTAGTCATCCCAGAATTGCAAATCAGACTGACCCCAGGATTCCACCTCACATCTAGCAGAATGCCTAAGATCAAAAACTCAAGGGATGATGCATGCTAGAGAAGGTGTGGAGAAAGGAGAACCCTCCTCCATTGCTGCTGGGAATGTAAACTTGTACAACCACTTTGGAAATCAGTCTGGCTCTTTCTCAGATAATTAAGACTAGTGCTATCTCAAGATCCAGCTACACCACTCCTAGCACATATCCAAAATATGCTCAACTATACAATAAGGACATTTGCTCAGCCATGTTCATAGCAGCTCTATTTGTAATAGCCAGAAGCTGGAAACAACCCAGATGTCCCTCAGTTAAGAAATGGATACAGAAATTGTGGTACATTTACACAATGGAATACTACTCAGCTATTAAAAAACAAGAAAATCGTGAAATTTGCAGGTAAATGGTGGGAACTAGAAAAGATCATCCTGAGTGAGGTATCCCAGAAGCAGAAAGACACATATGGTATATACTTACTTATAAGTGGATATTAGCCATATAATATACAATAAACATACTAAAATCTATAGTCCTAAATAAGCTAAACAACAAAGGAGGACCCTAGGGAGGAGGCTGAAACTTCACCCAGAAGGGCAAACAAGATAGACATCACAAGGAGAAGACAAGGAACAGGACTGGAACCTTCCACAGAGTCTGAAAGTCTCTACCCACCAGGGTATCGAAGGAGATACTGAGACTCATAACCAAACTTTGGGCAGAGTGCCAGAAACCTTATGGAAGAAGAGGGGGGAAGAAAGACCTAGGGGGGCAGGAACTCCACAAGGAGAAGAACAGAGACAAAATACCTGGGCCCATGGTCTCCTGCAGAAACTGATATTTCAACCAGGAACCAGGCATGGAGAAGACCTAGACTCCCTGCTCAGTTTCCAAGTTTGTTCCCTGGTAAGAGGAACAAGGGCTGTCTCTGACATGAACTCAGTGGCCAGCTCTTTGATCACCTGCCCCTGAGGGGTGCATGCCAGGCCTCAGAGGAAGATGGTGCAACCAACCCTGATGAGACCTGATAGGCTAGGTACTGATAGAAGGGGAGGAGGACCTTTCCTATCAGTGGACTAGGGGCATAAGGTGAGAAAAGAGGGAGGGAGGATAGGATTGGGAAGAAATTGAGGGGACCACAGCTGGGATACAAAGTGAAGAGAGAGAGAGAAGAGAAAAGAGAAGAGAAGAGAAGAGAAAGGAAGGAAGAAAAGAAAGAAAAAGAAAGCAAGATTAAATAATATTCTAGTCTATGTATGTACTACCTTTTCTTTATCTGTTGCTGGACATTTCCTTTCTCATTCTATGTATTTTCTTTGTGGTTACTATAAATAAAATGATGTTTTAAGCTGACAATATATAAGTTAAATAACATAAGATATTATTTTGATCTTTTAAAATTTCAATAACATCCTCTTACTAATTGATAGAATATTTTCCTGAGTGTATTAGTCACAAGTTTTTTTTTTTTTCTTCTTCTTTTTTAGTTGTTTTTTTCTTGGTCTCTGTTTTCTCTCATTTGCTTTTTTGCCCCTGTTTTTTTGACTTCACATTAAAAGCCTTTCTCATGTCCCTAAAATCCCTGTTGTTATTTCTGAGTAAGGAATGCAAGTTGTTCATCAGCCCTGAGATGATGGCAATTATGTACTTTGAATTTAAGGTGATGTTTTATAATCCCAACACTCAGGAGGCTGAAGCAGGAATTGTGAGTTCTAGGCCAGCCTGGGGTATATAGTGAGACTGTCGCCAAATGACAATAACAAAACAGCTTGGATCATTTGTTGGAGAATTTTCCTACTCCAAATTAGTATTTTTATCTTTCCTCGGGCTTAGTTTCCATAGAGGAGACTGCTTCTGGGGTCTCTTGCAAAAGAACTACCAGTGTTCTACTAGAAGAATGGTGGCCAGATCATCAGTGTTCCTGATGTGTATTTTGTCTAGATTATGTTTTCAGTGCCCTTGCTTTCAAAAACACTACTCTTGACCTCAGCTGTACAAGACATTCCGCATTTTCTGACAATTAACCTTCAATATTCGACCAGGGTTGGTGAGTTGCCCTCACCCAGTACTATAAATGTGGAAGGGGTAAAGATCTAATTCAACTTACAACTGCTTTCAACTTACCATCCTCATTTTAACCTTATCTAATCATATCTATTTCTGCAGCCCTCCAAAGCTATCAATTCTAGAACTGTTTGTGCATGTCTTCTGTCTTACTTATTTTTGTTTTTATATATTTATTCAATTTTTAAACAGGATATCACTATGTAACCCAGACTGGACTCTTGTCCCAACTCAGCCTTCCTAATTGGTAGAACTATAGGTTTTCACCACTGCGCTGACTTTTTAAATTTTTATTTGTGTGTGTGTGTGTGTGTGTGTGTGTGTGTGCGCGCGCACATGCGTGTGTACATGCACATATATAGGGGCCAGAAGTCAATTTCTCATTGTCTTCCTCTAATGCTCTCCACCTTATTTTTTTGAGAAAAGGTCTCACTGAATTGAGAAATCACCAACTGGCTAGACTGGCTGTCCATCCAGCTCTAGACATCCAACCAGCTTTTTACATAGATACCAGGGATTTAAAATCAGGTCTTCATGTTAGTGTAGCAAGCCTTTGTACTCCGTAGCCCACATCTGACTTTTGAAGAAGACTGAATATGTTCTTGGATTTTTCCACCCTATGAGTTTGATATTGTACCTTCTTTGGTGTGTCTAGTTTCTACTTACTTGTTTATTTTATATCATCCAGAATACTGTTGCTATTACTTTCTTTCTCTGTTCTTACTGACCTTACTGTTTCAGACCCTGTAGTTTCAGAATTTTCTGGAGCGAGTAACATCAGATGAATGTTCAGTCTCCCACCTTTATCTGAAAGTAATTCAAACCATAATGAAAAAGTTGCTTTCGTTCTGAGATATATTTGTTACTTTTTCAATTTGTATTAGGTGCTATATCTGAAGAACCTTAGTCCTCGGGTGAAAGAAAAGGACCTTATCTCATTATTTGCTCGGTTCCAGGAGAAAAAGGGACCACCCATTCATTTCCAAATGATGACAGGACGCATGAGGGGACAGGCTTTCATCACCTTTCCTAGTAAGTAACTTCATCTAGGTAATCACTCCAGTGCAGCATCAGTTCATGAAAAACTCCATATTACCTTGCTGAATTTGATGTAGCCTTAGCACATGAAAGGGGGGCCAGTAAGGAAAATATATTTCTAGTATTCCTAGATACTCCTTCCTATACTTACTTCCTCTTCTCTGTGGATACTACATAACCACCTTACCCTGGTGACCTCAGTTTGCCTCTTTTTTGACTTTTCCTTCCTACCTTACCAATACTTATTTTCTTTTGTTTACAGTACTGTTTCTACTCTATGTTATAATAGAATTATTCATAGTTATTGTGTTGGTATTGTGATCAGAAGACATATTTGTCTTATGCCCTATTTCTTTAGGATTAAGTAATTCTAAGTTAATGAATTAAGTCATTAGCAATTCATAATTATTGGAAGATGATACATTCTGCCAAATATCACTTGCATGTCAGTGCATATTTATATTAGTCATTTTTGTTAGTATATATACATATGTTTGTAAATTTTATGTGTATATATGTTCATGTGTGTGTGTATGTGCACTTGTGTATATGCATTTTATGCATGTATACATTGTCTTCCTCAGTTGCTCTTCCATCTTCATGTTCTCACTGAACTGAGAGATCATTGATGTGGCTAGGCTGTTTAGCCAGTCAGCTACAGGAACTCCTTCCTACGTCTAGGGTTACCAATGTATACTTCAATACCTGGAATTTTATATGGGTACCAGGGATCTGAGCAAAGTCCTCATGCCTTCATGGCAAGCATTTTGCTAACAGAGCCATATCCCAGCTTTATACCTCATAATTTGTAGCTAGTTCAGTAATCCTAACAGGTATAGTACACACTTGAAACTTCAGGGTATATCTGAGACAAAATGATCTCAGTCTAATGGTATTATTTACTTATAATTCCATAGCCTGTAGTCCAAAATCTACCCCATCCTTATTTCTTACTTAGAGTCTCTGAGACTCATATGTTGAATATTCCTGCTATGTATTTTCTCACACACAAATTTTCCATATACGTGCAAGAAAAATTCATTATCCCAGTAGGATTTCCCACAACCGCTTTCTCTCTAAAAGGAAAAAGAAAGTAGCTAAGTATGTTTGGTAATGTAACTTCTTGTATTTGTGTAACAATTTTGAAAAATTTTCTTCTCTAAGGTAGAGGCATGTTTATAATTAGGTTTAACTTATATTTCTTCAGTATATTCCCTATGTATCCTTATTTCTTCTGTGTCTTTGAATCAAATATTTTGAGTATCTTTTGTCATTATTTTTATTACCCATTAATTTAATCTTGCTAACATATACAGATGGGGATTGTGGGTAAGATAAAAACATCAAACAGTATGATTTTTATACTTGTAATTAAGCTTAAATATAAGTTTAGTTAAAATTAAACTTATAATATAATTGAGTGATTAAGCTCTATGTAATTCGGTGCATTTTTCTTATTTTTTTCCAGATAAAGACATAGCATGGCAAGCATTGCATCAAATAAATGGATATAAACTCCATGGGAAAATACTGGTGATACAGTTTGGAAAAAACAAAAAGCAACAGTCAGCTGTTCAGGGTGCTTCCCTTATAACATCTGCTACAGAAAACAGTACAGAAACCAATGGTAGCTAGAAAGCCACATCTACCTACACAGACATATTTGGATATGTACGCATATATGTATGTATGTATATATGTATGTAAACACACACTCAGATGATATTTTTTATCATAATCTTAGATCTAGGAGATATTTATATCCAATTTCTTTAAAATTAAGGAGGAAATATCAGAAAGACAGTAATTAGGACAGTGGCTTTCAGCATTTGGAGAAAATTAGTAAAAATTTTTTCTATAATTAAATACGGTATCATATATGAAAACATTATTTTAAATTAACAATATCCTCATTGTTAAATAAAATAATCAAACATTATATAGGACATATAGTAGCCTGAGTATTAAGATCATGTGAAAACCTTTAATTCTCGGGATATATTACATAGGATTGTTCCTGAAGACTCCGAAAATTCTTTAACATTTTTGCAGTCTTCAGTGTTTAGTCCTAGAGATAACACCATTTCTAGGACTGTTCCCTGAATGCAAAGTTTTAAAACTAATCCAGTGTTAAAATATTTATTTACTAGAACTCACTTATGTTTTGTCAGAACTTTCAACAGTTATTAAATAGGTAGATTCATTAGTTTATCAACATATTTAATGATTTCTTCCACACTAAGTTTTCAGAGTCCTAAAAAAGATATGTTATTCTGACATCTTTTAAACCAAAATATTGAATTCAAAACAATAAACATTAAACATGGAGTACCTGCCTAGTTAATATTAGTTATATGAACTTTTAAGAGGAAATGAAATAGCAAAAAATACTAAAGGGACATGGAAAGAAAGTTCTTTAGAACAAAAGCCCTGCCTCAAATCCCCTAATGATTTGTTTATAGTTGTTGAAGAAAAGAAACATAATATGGTATAGACATAGTGCCAGCTTTGGAGTCAGACCTGTGGACCCTCATAATCTCTCATGTTTACCACCTTGAACTTAGAAAGACACTTAATGTGAGCCTCATTTGTCTCATCTATAAAAAGTAATATTGCTATTTACCTCACTGAGTAAGGGTTAAATGAGATTATATTATCCAAAGTAAGGAACAAGGGAAAAGATTAAGGAAATGTAGGAAACTCTCTTAAGGATATCAAACAACATATAAAAAGAATTCCATTTAAAAGGAAGAAAGAAGCATAAAAATACTACCAGAGGACTAGCAAAATGTCTTAGTGGGTGAAGGCATTCACCAATAAACAGGAAGACCTGAGTTCAAATACATGCTAGAAGGAAAGAATTCCAGTAAGTTGTCTCTAATGTCCAGAAGTATATACTATGGCAAGCATATTCACACATATACAGGCACACAAACACACACATACACATAAACAGATAAATATTTTTAAAACTTCAAGAAATACTGGCTATACATACTTCAAATTAAATAAAAAAGGTAGAGCCAATCCAAAAGCCATACAAAACCTCAGCTACATTATAATAAAATGCTATAACTCAGGAGACATAGAAAATAATGACAGTAACCCAAGAAAGCTGAAGGGTTATTTGTCATGTAACTCTAACTAGATTAACAGCTTCTTGTCAGAAATAAGAATGGTCGCCTAGGCATGTTCTTGTGCTTTCAACTATTCAGGAGGCTGAGGCAGGCATTGCACCCTGATTCAGAACCAGTTTGTGTAAAACAGTGGACCCTGGTTCAAAAACCAAAACCAAGAAAAAGTGACACAAATGCGATCTTAGAAATTGCCCACCTAATTTTAAAAGCTGGAGAATTTGTTGCCAGCAGATCACACAAGACATGAAAAAGTACCTTTGTCAAGCTGAAAGCAAGTAACCTTAAAGAATAATTTGAATCTACACATAGAACATAGACAAAGGTGATTGTGTGACTGTAAAAGAAAACCTTGAATTCTTTTTTTCTTATTCTGTTAACTAAACTAATCTTTCTTTTTTGTGTGTTTTCTGAGACAGTTTGTCTGTGTAGCCTTGGCTGGGCTGCCCTTGATCACTCTGTAGACCAGGCTGGTCTCAAACTCACAGAAATCTGCCTGCCTCTGCCTCCTGAGTGCTGGGATTAAAGACATGTACCACTACACCTCTCCCTCTCCCTCTCCCTCTCCCTCTCCCTCTCCCTCTCCCTCTCCCTCTCATCCCTCTCCCTCTCATCCCTCTCCCTCTCTCTCTCTTTCTCGGTTTTATTGAGTTAGGGTTTCTCTGTGTAACCCTGGCTGTCCTACATCCGGGTCTGTAGACCAGACTAGCATCAAACTCAGAAATCTTCTCTCCTCTACCTCCCCAGTGTTATAGTTCTGTTACTTTCTATTTAAAAGTTACATTAAGTTGCACATAGTTGCATTGTATTTGCTATAACATAAAAGTCAATGTATTTGCCATTAATAGGACACAAAGTCCTGTTAATGCTGTATTTTATTTAAAAATAGCATAAATCTATGGGAAAAAAATAAAAGAGAAATAAGATGCCAACATTCTACAAGTCTATAAAGATAATTCAGCTTCTTGAATGTACAGAAGTATGTTAAGTGATAATTATAATGTATTGTTAGCCCTGTAACATGTAGAAATAGCCTGCATAGCTGCCATACACCCAAGTATGAAATAAGGAAACAAAAATACTAGAGATAAAAATCCATTTTTTGTTGTTGTTTAAAAGATCGATCTTTTAAGTTGTAACAATTTTAATCACATTTTCTTGACAATAGAGCCCCAAAATAACCTAAAACAAGGTAACAAAGTAAAGAATGAAAGGAGAAATAGACAACTCTCAAAAAAGTGTCCCCTTTCTAATAAAAGTGCTACATAGATGAGAAACAACAAAGCAGACTGCTTCAACACTGTAAGCCAAATAGATCTGAGAGATAGCTATAGAACATACTACCCTAGAACACTAAAATATATATTTTCATCCCATGCACATGAAACATCTTTAGGCTAGATCATGAGCTGAACCACGAAACAGTTATTAATAATACAAATAGACTGAAGTAAGACATATTCTCTGACCATGTAGAAGGAAGTTACAAATCACTCACAATAAATTGTGAAACTCATGAAAAAGTGAAAATTAATGACACTTCATAGCAGATAGGTCAATAAAGAAACAGAAAAGAAGGGCTGCAAAAATGGCTCAGTATACAAGAGTGCTGGCTGCTCTTACAGAGGAGCTAAGTTTGATTCTGAGCACTGACATTAGGTTGTTCACAACCACCTTTTTCTATGTGGGAAATATTTCTACTTAATGAGAAGAAAGATCATTTAATAGTAATTCAGTTTATATCTTAAGCTGTAGGAAAATAATAGCAAACTATATCTAGAACAAATAGAAAAATGGGAAAACATGCAAAATATATGGGAGAGTAGAAGAGAACACCAACAGCACAGGCATATGCTGGAGAGGATGTGGAGAAAGGGGAAGCCTTCTCCATTGCTGGTGGGAATGTAAAATTGCACAACCACTTTTGAAATCAATCTGGAGCTTTCTCAGAAAACTGGGAATAGCAATACCTCAAGACCTAGCTATACCATTCCTGGGCATATATCCAAAAGGTGCTCAACCATGTTCATCGCAGCTTTATTTGTATTAGCCAGAATCAGGAAACAACCCAGATGTCCCTCAACTGAAGAATGGATACAGAAATTGTGGTACTTTTACACAATGGAATACTACTCAGCAGTTTAAAACAAGGAAACCAAGAAATTTGCAGGCAAATGGTGGAAACTAGAAAAGATCATCCTGAATGAGGTAACCCAGAAGCAGAAAGACACACATGGCAAATACTTACTTATAGGAGGATATTAGTCATGTAATATAGGACAAACCCATTAAAATTTATAGTCCTAAAGAAGCTAAACAACAAGGAGGAAGGACCCTAGGGAAGAAGCTTAATCCTCATTCAGAAGGGCAAATAGGATAGACATCTGAAGTGGAAGAAGACAGAGAACAGGACGGGAGCCTTCTACAGAGGGCCTCTGAAAGACTACCCAGCAGGGTATCGAAGCAGAGGCTAAGACTCAGCCAAACTTTGGGCAGAGTGCAAGGAATCTTATGGAAGAAGGGGAGATAGACCTAGAGGAACAGGAGCTCCACAAGGAGACCAAGAGAGCCAAAAAATCTGGGCTCAGGGGGTCCTGCAGAGACTGATGAATCAGCCAAGGACCATGCATGGAGAAGACTTGGACCCCCTGCTCAGATGTAGCCCATGGCAGCTCAGTCTCCAAGTGAGTTTACTAGTAAGGGGAGCAGGGACAGTGTCTTACATGGACTCAGTGGCCACCTCTTTGATCACCTCCCTCTGGTGAGGTGGCCTAAGTAGGCCACAGAGAAAGATAATCCAGATAGTCCTGATGAGACCTGATCAGCTAGGATCAGATAGTAGGGGAGGAGGACCTACCCTTTCAGTGGACTAAGGGAGGGACATAGGTGGGGGAAAGAGGGAGGGAAGGTGGAACCAGGAGGAGATGTGGGAGGAGGCAACAGCCAGGATACAAAGTTAATAAATTGTAGTTAATGATAATAATAACAATAAAGAGAAAATGGGAAAGTGAAAAACAACAGAGGAAAAGCAATGAATCCAAGTAAGAAAGTAGCAAACTTTTGCTAGATATAGCAGGAATTGGTAGACTATAATTATTAAAATGATAAAGAGAGGAAAGTCTATTACTACTGACCTTTGAAAAATAAGAGATGTATGAGGGAATACTATTATACTTGTGGCAATAAATTTACTTACCCAAAATGAACAAATTTCTAGAAAGAACAAAATATAGGAAGTCAGAGTAGACCTTATAACTAATAGATTAAATAAGTAACAGGACAGATACCCACAAAGATACCCATACTTAAGTTGCTTTTTATTTCAATTCTAGAATACTACTGAATGTTTAATAAAACAGAAATCCAATTTATTCACAAGCTTTTTTTAAAAATAAAAACACTTCTGAGAAATAATCCTACAACATGGAGGAACCCTGAGAATTTATTCAGTCATAGAAACCAGTCGCTAATGATGACAAATTCTAGAATTCCATGTATATGTAGCATCTGTAATTGGTATATCTGTATATATATGTATATATATGCATGCATACATATAAAATACATACATATATAGCAGTAAATGATAAGCAGGGAAAACTAGAGTGGATAGGAGTTCTTTACTAGCTGATGAAATGTTCATAAATTACCTTAATGGTTGTATAACAATAAATATATCAAGTGGGTAAATTTTGTGGTATGTTAATTAAATCTCAGTGAAACTCAAAAACAAAACAGGAAATTGGAGATGATCCAAATACCCATCTGTCAACATGAGTGGCTTATGACTTATGTCACATACTCATTTAGTAGGATACTATGAAGCCTTTCAAACAATAGATTATACCTAAGAATATTTTGTGACTTGTACTCATATCTAAGATTTTATAAGTTATAGAGTAAGATGTATGTATGTATAAGATGTGTGTATAGTAAGGACACAATTTAAGCAAATAGTTCATGTATATAATTTGTAGAGATAATTTCAAACAAATGTAGAAAAGAAATAGGTAATGTATATACAGGCTGTAAACCTGGAAGTGGGTCAATACAAGCTAAAAAAATATCTTCACCTTGTGAACATTTTTAGGTGGTGTGATTTGGAGTGGTTTTTTACCTTTTTCACTATTTTTTTAAAAAAGTAATTTTTAAAATATTCTTACAAACACTTGGCTTCCAGAATATTTGTCAGACCTACTCTGAGGATTTCTGACTTTACTCAGGACAAACTTCTGTTCATTTTCTCTATTGCTCACATGATTAATGCTCCAATTTTTGAAAGAGTTTAAGCGATGAGAAGTGAAATCTAGTTACAGCCTCTTGAACATGTTACCCTGGACATACTTCTCAGCCAGGTTTCCCAAAAGGGACTGCTTCCTCTCAGGTGGGAAACCTTACCTCCTCATTATTAGACCTAAAGACCACTTAAAAATGGAGAAAATATAATAGAGGAGACCTTTCAACTGGTGCAGAGATATAGAAACTGGTATATCCAGACAACAAAATTCTACTCAGCAATAAAAACTGAGGAACCATATATTAACAACTTAGATAAATCATAAGTATTTTACTAAGTAGAAGATGTCAAACTCAAATGGCTGCTTACTGTTATATTTACTTGTGTGATTTTCAGAAAGGGTGAAGCAATAAGGCCGAAAAACCAGTAGCTATCAAGTGTTCGCACAAGGGATTTTTTTTTTAATAATGGGAACTTTCTGTATGTTGTTTGTAGTTACTATGTGTATGGTTTTTGTTAAAACTCAGAATTATACACCAAAAGAATGAATTTTAATGTGTGGATTTTTAAAAATAAAAGCAATTTTTAATGAAATAGAGATTTGGAAAGAGTCATTTTATTAACTAGTGTAAATATTTGTGATCTCTGATTACTCCTGAAAAAAGGCCAAAGCCGCTCTATTTCTCTTGCTTCTCACAGGTGAGCCCATGCTACTAAATTAAAATCTTTTATTAGTTCCTTTTCTATTGCTGTGACAAACACCATAACCAAAGTAACTTACAGAAGGAAGGGTCTATTTAAAACTCACAGTTCCAGAGAGATAGGAGTCCATCACCATTATGGCAGGGAGCATAGCAACAGGCAGGAAGGAATGGCACTGACACAGTAGCTGAGAACTCACATCCTGATTTATGAACAGGAAGCAAAGAGGCAGACTGGGCCCCCAGGGGAGCACATCCTCTTTAAAGCCACACCCCCTAATCCTTGCCAAATAGGGTCACAAGCTAAGGATCAAGTATTCTAATATGTGAGCCCATGACAGTTAATCTTCTACAAATCACAAATCTCTGTAACTTAGGAGTATTGCACTTGTTTTTCATGCATGAGGCCCTAGGTTCAAACCCCTGTACTGTCTAAAATGTAAATTTAAAAAATCTGAAAGACTCTACCCAGCAGCGAATCAAACCAAGACTCATAACTAAAACTCATAACCAAACCTTCGGCAGAGTGCAGGGAATTATACGATATAAAGGAGAGTTAATATGACTGGGAGAGGACAGGAGTTCCACAAGAACAAAATATATCAGGGCACAGGGGCCCTCTATGAGACTGTTTCTCCAACCAAAGACCATGTATGGATATAACCTAGAACCCCTGCTCGGATGTAGCACATGGTAGCTCAGTAACCAAGTGGGTTTCCATAGTAAGGGGAACATGAACTATTTCTGACATGAACTCAATGACTGGCTCCTTTATCTCCCTCCCCCACCCCTGAGGGAGGAGCAGTCCTGCTAGGCCACAGAGGAGGACATGGCAACCAATCCTGAAGATACCTGATAAGCTAGGGTCAGATGAAAGGGGAGGAGGACCACCCCTAACAGTGGACTTTGGAAAGGGGCAGGGAGGAGATGAAGGAGGGAGGGTGGGATTGGGAGGGAATGAGAGAGGGCTACAGCTAGATACAAATAACCTGATTAATATGAAAAAATAAAAATTAATTTAAAAAATCTGAACCAGATATAGTACATGCACTCAGGACCAGACAGCAGGATTGCTGACAATTAAAGGCTAACCTGAGGTATGTGGTGAGTTACAAGCCAGCCTATGCTACAAATAGCTTTTCTTTAAAAAAAAAAATCTGTATATGCATACACAGTTTTGCCATTAAAAACTAGGAAATCTGTTGTTCCAAAAACTAATATCTTTTACAATACAATATTTATTTTAGTAAGTCACTGGAAAATACCAAACCCTCTATCTACTGGATTTTGTTTTTCTCCTATATACCCTGAACATTGCCATATACAAATTTAATGTGTGCCCCCATAATCTGTGGATAAGCTTACTTAAATATGAGTACTGTGATAAGCTGATAGCTGAGATGACTTCTAAGTGACTAGCTGGGTGGGTAGCATATATAATGTGGATACACTGGACAAAGGATTAAATCGCATTCCCTATGTGATATGGGCAGAATGGAGTAGATTCTAGTCAGTAGAATGTCATGAAATTTCATCACAGTATTCAGAAGAGGCTGAAGTTTAAATATATGTGTCACCAATTTCTAGGATTTTCCATCTAATAATCCTGGACTTTGTTGACTGCTGATAACTGTAACCATGAACACTGAACCTACCAAGAACGGAGAAGAGTATTAAGCCAAACCTTTTGTTTCCACAAATACCTGAGATAAACCATTTAAAGAAAGATTTATTGTTCCTCCGAATGCAGGATTTATCCCATGGTTGGCTGGTAGGGTTGCTTTGGGACCATAGGTAAGGCAGATAATGAGATACAGGTGACAGAGCAAAGCTGTATGCTTCATAGTGGCCAGGAAGCAGAAAGACAGAGTGCTCTGGCATGCGTCCTCCTCTAGCATTTGTTCGACCCAAGCTCGTCACATTTTTATAGTTGGTCCTCCTCCCTTGTTTGACACACATACTTGTATCTGGAAATACTCTCACATGAAACACCCCAAATGTGGGATTTAATAAACTAAGTAGAAGTCTTTCAGGTTGACAAGATTTGCAAATACAACAACTATATGTCAAATCAATAGTAAAATTTCAAAGTGGATAAAAAATACATAGTGAAGCAAATATAAGTGACAACAATGAAGTTTCCTTAACTGAGTTGTTTGATTTACTCTTTCTGTGTGTGTGTGTGTGTGTGTGTGTTTTCATACAAAGCTTTGCTGTGTAGCTTACACTAGTCTCAAATTGAAGATACTCCTGCCTCAGCCTCTTAAGTACTGGATTGGAACACATCTACCTCCATATATTGCTCTAACTGGGTTTTGTCAGATATTTTCTCATATTTAGGTGAAGTTTTGCATTTTTGTTAATAAACCACAGAAGTGATCTTTTGTCCTTGTTCGTGTGTCATACAAGGAGATCAGTTACAAGTCATCCTATACAGAACATAGAGGGGTTTTTTGTTTTGTTTTGTTTTGTTTTGTTTTTTCTCTCTCATTGTTCTGGAACATTGGGAAGTCCAAGATTATGGCACCAACAGGTTTGATTTCTAGTGAAGGTTCTCTCTGCACTCAAAATTATGACTTGTTTCTGTATTCTGCTTTTTTAAATTTTATTTTTATTACAATTTATTCACTTTGTATCCCAGCTATAGCCTCCTCCCTCATTCCCTCCCAATCCCACCCTCCCTCATTCTTCTCCCGTGCCCTTCCCCAAGTCCAGTGATAGGGGAGGTCCTCCTCCCCTTCCCTCTGACTCAAACCTATCAGGTCTCATCAGGATTGACTGCATTGTCTTCCTCTTTTGCCTGGTAAAGCTGCCCCACCCCCTCAGGGGGTGGTGATCAAAGAACCAGCCACTGCTCCCCTTACTAAGGAACTCACTTGGAGGCTGAGTTGCCATGGCATACATCTGAGCAAGGGGGTCTAGGTTATTTGTATACATGGTCCTTGGTTGTATTATCAGTCTCAGAAAAGACCCCTGTGCCCAGATTTTTTTCTCTCCTGTGGAGCTCCAGGTCTTTTGATCTCCCCCTACTTTAGAGGATTCCCTGCACTCTGCCCAGAGTTTGGCTGTGAGTCTCAGCATCTGCTGGGTAGAATCTTTCAGAGGCCTTCTGTGGTAGCCTCCTTCCTGTTCCCTGTTTTCTTCTACATCTGATGTCTGTATTCTGTAGAGGAGAATAACTCTGGCTTCTCTAATGGTACCGTGTAGAGAAGGACAAAAATTGAAAGGAAGGAGACAAATCCATCAAACTTCTTTTGCAAGGTCTTAAATTCCTTTTTACATGATTTCACATTCAGGACTTAATGACCGCATAAAGGACACACCTATACATATTATCACATTGACAAAAATAAAATTCAACAAAAAGATTTTTTAAGTATCTTTACCAGCTGTGGCAGTGCTTTCCTAGTTCTTTTTTTTCTATTATTATTATTATTATTATTATTATTATTATTATTATTATTATTTATTCACTTTGTATCCCAGTTGTAGCCCCTTCCCTCATCTCCCAATCCCACTCTTCCTCCCTCTCCCCCCTATGTCCCTCTTCCCTAGTCCACAGACAGGGAAGTCCTCCTCCCCTACTGTCTGACCCTAGCATATCAGGTCCCATCAAGACTGTCTGGATCCTCTTCCTCTGTGGGCTGGCTAGGTCGCTCCACCAAGGGAAAGTGATCAAGGAACAGGCAATTGAGTTCGTGTCAGAGACTGTTTCTTCCCTTATTAAGGGACCCATATGGAGACTGAGCTGTCTATGTGCTACATCTGGGCAAGGGGTCTAGGTCCCCTCTATGCATGGTCCGTGGTTGATGCATAATTCTCTACAGGCTACCCTGGGCCCAGCATTCTTTTTTGTTTTTCTTTGTTGGTCTCCTTGTGGGGCTCATGTCTCCTATGGGTCCTTCTATATCCTCCTTCTTCCCTAAAACTCCCTGTTCTCTGTCCAAAGTTTGGCTTTGAGTCTCTGCAACTGCTTTCTTAGTTCTTTAATTCCTTTAGAGTCATTGAGCTTCAGCTTTCTATAAAGACAGCATAGCTTCTATTTCTTTACCTTTATTCTTACTGGAATAGACTCAGTAGCTTATGTCCTAAAATCAATATAATTTTGTTGATGAAACTTTTTTCTTTGACCATTTGGAGTTCCATCAGGTGTTTTCTTCTGTCATTTTGACATGTCCTTTTTCCACCTACCCCCAAACCTCTGAATTTCTCACGCCACAAGCTTTCTAGAATCATCTGATACTTTCCCTATTCCAGGAAATAATCATCTTTTTTTTTTTCATGGGCCCATGCTTTCTTTAATTGGAGAATTAGAAACCAAGAGCTAGATACTATGTGATTGTTTTTTAATAAATTTTTTATTAATTACAGTTTATTCACATTGTATCCCATCTCTAGCCCCCTCACTTACTCCCCCCAATCCCATCCTCCCTCCCTCTTCTCCTATGCCCCTCTCCCAGTCCACTGATAGGGAAGGTCTCCTCCCCTTCCATTTGACCCTAGCCTATCAGGTCTCATCAGGACTGGCTGCATTGTCTTCCTCTGTGGCCCAGTAAGACTTCTCCCCCATCACAGGGAGGAAGTGATCAAAGAGCCAGCCCCTGACTTCATGTCCCAGACAGTCCCTGATCTCATTACTAGGGAATCCACTTGAACACTGAGATGCCATGGGCTATATTTGAGCAGGGGTTCTAGGTTATCTCCATGAATGGTCCTTGGTTGGAGTATCAGTCTCAGAAAAGACACCTGTGCCCTGATTCTTTGGTTCTGTTGCTCTCCTTGTGGAGCTCCTGTCCATTCCAAGTCAAAGTTTCAGAACATCGAATATAAAGACTGATGACACCAATGGGGTATGGTGGCATTCTGGGAGACAAAAGCAGGGGAATT